TTATGAATCTCTTCCTGGCAAGGCACTACAGAAAAACAATGTGCTCTCATTTGTGTGTGAATAAATACAGTCTCTTGTGCACTACCTTTGTTTCTCCAAAATCCTCTGATCCTGTGTTATTTCAATGTCTGCTATTAGTGAGTTCAGCAGACCTAATCTCTGTACACAGCAGTGAATTATGTGATGAGCCAAGTGATTATGGATTAGTTTTGTGGAAACTAATGCTGAAATTCAAAGGAGACTCTTTGTAGGCAGCTTGCAAGGCTTTTTTGCTGTGCATCTGAATTTCGCTAGCAAATACAGCTTGATTCTGTCCTGCAATCACAGAATAATTAGGGATGGAAAAGACCTCTGGAGATCATCTGGTCTAAGCCCCCTGCTCAAGCCAGGTCACCTAGAGCAGGTTGCCCAGGGCCTTGTCCGCTCGGTTCTGAACATCTCCAAGGATGGAGACTCCACAACCTCTCTGGGCAACCTGCTGCGGTTGTTGAGCACCCTCACAGGAAAGAATTGTTTTCTTGTGTACGTTCACAGCAAAGAGGAGTCTCTTTCGGTGAGACCAAAGCAGGAGACATGGGTTTGTAATTGTTTACTTGGAGTGGCTTATGAAAGCTTCAACTGTAAAGTCTGAACACTCAAAGCTCCTATTAGATAATAGGTTGAATTGTTTTGTTTCCGTTGGTGACCTAAAAATGGTAAGCTTTTAAAATAAAAGACTGAGATCAGGACAGAAAAAGTGATTTTACAACCTACCCAGCCCCAGTCAGTGATCCAAGTCTGGGTTACAACGTATAATTGGCCTTGTGCAATCTCGGCTGGTGTACTTTGTGGGATTTAAGTCTCCTCGACCATATGAAATGTAGTTACTTTTCTAGGTGCACATGGAGCTTTTGAGCCGCGTTGATGCTGCCTGGTGGTACGAACCAAATGGGGATCTTCTGCAAGGCTGGACAGTAAAGGCGTTCTGGAAGCTAAGTAGTTAGTTTTCAGTCATGTTGAATAAACTTGCAATCTGCGTTTCACTTCAAGGTTTGTGGGGGTTCAAGTGTTTGCCCCTTTCCTCAAAACTGTAGTGTCAACGCTGCTGATGCTGATGGAATGGGGAAAGCTTCTACAACCGACCCCTCTAGACTATGAGGCAATTGCACTATTAGTAGTCAGGAGAACTCTTTAAGACCTTACTTCTCAAGCGCTAAAACATAGTGGAAGTTTTAGAGGGAAGGTAAGACAGAAGACTTCATTTCTCTCTTCTTTCTTAAATTTACAGTTATATCATTGGAGGGAAGAGTGAAAAGATTTTGTCTCTTTGCCCCCAGCCAGAGATTTAATTTTAAACATTATTAGCTATCTGATGCTGTTTATAAAATAGTAGAGTTGGAATTTAATAGTTCTACAGATGAAATTTACTGTACAAAAAGTATATTTCTTGCCTTCTAGCTGTATTCTAGAAGATTTTAGTATCAGATCTGTATTCCAACTGTAGTGGGTTTGTCAAGTCTTCGTAATCTTATCTCTCTTGCTGATTGTGGCATTATTTCTACTCTCCAAGGTTACACTGAATCTTGTATACCAGGGTATTTGTCACTATACAATCCTTAAATTTTCTCTTTTCTCTTTTTTTTTTTTAACGCATACCTTGTATCTAATGGCAATTCAAGTATTTTTTTTTTTTTAATTCCAAACACGAAGTTTGGAATGGACTTTTAGGCGTCTGAATCCAGATACCTAGTACTGCAGATAGAATCACCATCACAGAACATGCTTAACCATCTTCAAACAGGCGTAGACTTCTTGCCTGAATTATTGTTTGGGAAGCCATACTTTTATTCCTCTAATGATTAAAACTGTCTTCTGATTTGCAGCCTAAATTTTTTTAGATTCCATTTATATTTATCTTTTTCCTGTCCAGGCTTTGTTTTTGAATCTTAAACTTAGAAACTTTTATTTACTTACCAGTATTTTAGGGCGATAACCTTATCCCCACACATCACTCACTTTAATATGCCTTGTACGATGCTGTTTATATTTCCTGTCCTGCCCAAATATACCTTTCAAAGTATCCTAGGATCACGTTTGCTTTTTCTGTCAAGGATGATACTGACGTTGGATAGTCATCTTGCAATCAGCTCACATACTGAGGACTTGTTTGTATGTCTGATCTCTAGAAGAAAGTTACTGTGTCGTTTAGCATCTTCCTCCCCCCCAACCTGTGATCTGTGAACAAGGAGGACTCGCTTTATACTGAAGCTGTTCCATACCTCACATTTGTGTCGCTTTACTCTGCGTCTCCTGTAAATGGCTCATATCTTCGAGGCAAGGGGATCAGAGTAGATGTAGCTATCAGAGTGCAGGGTGTATTGTGAATTTATAATGGTATTTGGTTTTCAGTTTTGTTCTTGATTTTGTTTCCCTTTTTGAATGCATGTAAGTGCTTAGCTGATATTTTCAGAAAACTGTGTGTGCTGATTTTAAGATCTTTCAGTGGATGATATAGCTAATGTAGAACTTGTAATTGTGTTTATAGAGCTGTATAACTATTTTTTCCCTTGTATTTTGCATTTACTGTCATTCAATATGCCATTTTATTGTCAGGTTGCTTAATAATGCTGTGATCATTCTAAATAAGTTTACAAGTTTTTTCACCTTGTTATTCACTCCCTCTTCCAGACTTCTTGTGAATGTGTGGAACAGTGTAAATCCTAGCTGAAATCCTTGGAAGTCCTCTTAGCAAGCTTCTTGCATTATGAAAAATGTCTGTTGAATTTTTACCCTTTTCTGTAACTTAACTGTTTGTTAACCTATAAGAGGATCTTTCCCCTCATCCTACAGTATATCTTCCTTTGCGTTCTCTGATCTTTCCAGGCTGTGGCTGTCTCCCTTTTCTTTCCATCATTAGCATACCTGTTATGCACAAGCCATTAATTAAAATTCTAAAAATAGCAATGCCAAGACTGATGCTTCTGGTGTCAGAGTGATAGATGGGGGCAGTGGGCAGCTGAGCAGTCGGCAGCCACGGCAAGGGCAGTTACTCCCCTTAATAGAGAAGCTTCAGGATAGGTCCTCAGCTGAGCCGAATGCCACTGTGATATGTAGTCCTGGTTTATAAGTGATCGCTGATCCATAGCGAGATCTCCAAGGAGTCCTGAGGACGTGGAGATGGCGTATTGCATTGGGCCAGGCAGATTTGGCTCCTTTAAGTGTGTCTGCAGTCCCTTTACTCTGGTCAGCTTTTATAATTTTTCCACTTTTTTGTTTTTGCTAGCACAAAAAGGCTGGTTGTGCGTCAGCTTCTCTTAGCAGTTTTTTCTTCCCTCCTCTGACTGTTGCATGTTTCGCCATTTTTCCAGGGGCAGTTTCCTTGGCTTGCCTTGCTCTCTTCTGTTATGCTTAGGAAGTCTCAGTCACACAGTGCTGGCAATTCTTGTTATTTTTAGGACAAACTTAAAAAGCTTTTGTCCTGCTAACATTAACTTTTAGCTTTGCACAACTGTTGCATTAATTTTTTTTTTGAAGAGCGAATGCACTGTTCAGTGTGAATTACAGGAAAAATATGTTGGGCACCAACACAGGCCGTTTTTTCTTTAATTCTTTCTTTTATGTGCGTTTTCAAAGTGAGGGATCCTGGCTGAAACAGTATGAAGCCGGTCCCGAAAATAACACAGCGAATGCTCCTGAGTTCTGTGACTGTCACTGTCGCAGCTGGAATGATGACAGCAGACCCGGCATGCCGTGGCATGGGCAGGATGCCAGCAGCACAAATCAGGGTCTTCTGAGCCCTCTCCAAGCTTTGGGTCTCCCTTGTTGTCAGGATTACTGCACGTCGAAGTTGATTTTGGGCTCTAGCGCGCTAACGTTTTGATTTTAGACAGCTTGAATGCCTTGTGGTGATGCACCTCAACTTTACTCCTTCCCTTTCTCACTGGATCTTCTTGTTAATTCTTTTTTTTTGTATCCTTTTGTTTTGCATCTCTCCTCTCACTTTATACCCTTTCGCAGTTTCACTAGGATCTGGTGAAAATGATACTGACAGCAGTTGTTGACCGTAGTTTCTTTTCCTCCTGTCCAGTGGCAGTACTCTTGTAAAAAGCTGTGTAAGGTTGGGATATAACACGTGCAAGGAAACAGTGATACTGTAAGTAGTTTAGGTAGGATTCAGTAGACAAGCGAATGCAAGAACTGTTTTGGGGTACTTGATATTTTTGGACTAGTAAGAGGAATTTAAGATGATACCTATCTAGATTAAGGTAGTTTTTTAAAGTTTTTCAGATGGCTTTTGTTCTTAGAGCTTGCTATTTGTCCTCTGTGCTTTTTATTTAATCTAGCAAGTAACCTCTGTTTACTGAAATCTGCATTTCTGCCTTCATGAATGCATTATTTTTCAGAAGCATTTGGTGTAGACACAACGTTTTATTGAAATTTCTATTTATTTAGGAAATGCATCTCTAGAGACTCCAGAAGAAACAACGTGCTACAGTATTTAAGCTATAGTGTTTCTGAAGTATTTCCTTAAAAAGAATTTATAAAGGAGGAGAGTAGTAGGACAGTAAGTTTGCAATTAGAATAAAAATTGCCTTATGGATATAATTTGAAAGAAGCCTAAGGTATTAGAGTAAATAATGCCACTATCACTACTTTCGTTAAATGATGCACAGGCAAATACTGTAATGGATTTTTAAACATAAAGCTTGCTCCAGTTAAAGGTTAACAATTTGCATTTGAAAAAGAGACCAGTATAAAGGCTTAACGCATATAGTTTCCTTTTTAACTGCTTATTAAAACAAGCTATCAAATGCTTTCCATCAGATTTGTTGCTTGCTTCCATCTTTTTTTAGCTATGTATTTCACTAATGTAGAGTAATATTTAGCAGAGCACTTTGGTAATGGTTCAGCAATAAGACTGCATTTTTATCTAGGCATAAAGGTTCTCCGTTTGATGTTGTGGTTTTTTTGTATAGTGCAGCGTTTAGAACACAACTAATGAGGGCTTGTAAACTGAAAAGGTTGGGGACCCAAAGGAGATGTGCTGCTTCGCAGTGGAGGTTACTGAAGAGTTAGCTGATGGGAGGCCCGGAGCGCTCACCCAGCGGCACGTCCGTCCGTGAGAATTCCCCTGCGCCCTGCAGCTGCTGACACAAGACGTGGAAGAAACCCTGGGTGAGGGTCGCTTATTGGAGTCACAACACTGGCAATGGGAAAAGAGCAGGATAAAAACAAATGCCTCATATATTACTGTGCCTTTCATTACTGTAGTAATGGAGATTTTATATATGTTATGAGGAATGAGAATCTTGTGTCTATGGATATTTTGGGCAGATTGCAGTAGAATTCTCGTGAAGGATTTCAGCTCTGAAATGCATCTAAATCGCTGGTTCCTGAAGTCTGGTCTGTAGACCAGCACTAATCCTTGACCCTTATGGAATAAGGGAAGCTGAACACTAAATAGCATTGGAAGAAGCTGGGAAGCAGGAAAGGAGAGGGAGTCACTTTACTTTGAATTCTGTAGATTAGATTGTAGAAGAGGAGTTGCAAATGTAAAAAATCTTGTCTTTGAAGACGAGTGTACGCTTAAAATACAGTTTTCTTTTAGTAACTCAGCAGAAATGTAACGTGTAACTTGTGGATGTTGATGATGTACGTTTTAAATAAACCCTCAGTAAATTCAATTCATGTTTTGGTTAGTGTAGACTGTAAAATCTTCACATAGTGACTGGGACGTTGTTGTTCTAGGCACTTAACATACTGTGTACATGCTATGACAGAGTTTACAGTTCAAGAATAAGACAAGAAAACAGGTGGGGATGCAAAAGACAGATGGGGAAACACAAGGTAATGAAGACCATTATGCCTAGCGTAATAAGCTGTAGTTGTGCTGTACCATCTGCCCAACTATGAAGAGAAATTCTGTAATATTGTTTTTTTTATTGTAGTGCAATATTTTCTCTTTCTGCCTTAGGCATGTAGCTGTGCATGTGCGTATTTAATTACATGCCTGAGCAGTGCTGATGGGTAAAGCTTATTATGGCTGCAGTGAGTTGTGTTACTGAACTCTCAGATGAGTTCAGTACACGTATATTGTGTGTGTGTGTGTGTGTGTGTGTGGCATGCCTAGTAGAATTACATTTTGTAAGGGGATATTGATAAATGTCAATATATAATAATAATCCAAATAATATTTGTTTTAGTCTTGGGGTGAATAATTTTTTGTGGCTTTTCTGTGCTGACAGACTCAGAGTTAGCAGTAGTCATCTTCATACAGTGCAGAAGTGCTACGGACATAAATAAGACCACTTGTGTCTAATCTGTGGAGCTCCCAAGTCTTCCTAAATTAGAAAGCTCACATGAATTTTTAAAGCTATACGCAGCTGTGCTTCCCCAGCCCAGACCATGCTTTAAGCCGTGATAGGTTGGTCAGCTCAATTCCAATGCTGTAAGTGTGCTTCTTGAGCTAAGTGATAGAAATTTTTCTTGCTGAGCGTAGGAGGAAAGTTAAATACTGTGTTATGTTATATATCACTGTTTCCTCAAAACACACTTTCCATCAGGTTTGGGAGATTGCTGACCAGTTTGACATTAGTTGACTGTGGTGACTAATATTACTGTAAGATCAACTGGACTGGATATATAAAGGGATGCTGAAAATTCATTTTCAAGATAAAGATGGGTGGAGGAGAACAGTTAGTTAACTGAATGGTTCTTTAATTGTAAAGTTACCACTCGGATTTGGGCCCCTACTGAAAACTCAGATCCGTTCTGAAGAAGGGATTTAGATCACTTACTAATGAGTTGACTAGCACGGAAAGGAATTTGCTATTTTGCTAATTGTGTTTATTATTATTAGAAGTTAATAATATTAGAAATTAATTTTTTGGCTGTCTTAGGAGATGTCTGTGGGTAGCATGAGGAAGTGCTACAAAAAGTAACCAGACTTCAAATAAGAACCTGAAAAGGAAATTTATGCTAAACATGAAATTGCCTGTGGTGGACCTCAGTGGGAGCACAAGCTCTTGATCCAAGAAGAAATTTGTAAACAATGTATTTTACTAAATTACCTGTTTTCAATCAAGGGAACTTTAAGTTAGCATTAGGACAAAGTGCTTTATTCAAAATAATTCCATACTTTATTCAAAGAAGGGCATGTGCTTTCTATTTCTGTATCTAGCTTAGTATTTATGCAGTTCACTGAAGGTTTTATGGTACGGCGGTGTTTATCATAACTGAGAATCTCTGATTTGTTATGGTTATTATTTTCAAGTATATTTTGGTAGGAGTCAGGTTTGCCTCCATACCCTTCTTTGATTGAAATTTGACTTTTGAAGACTACAGCATGAAAATACTGTCATAGCTAGATGTATCGTAAGCATTTGTAATAGTCTCTTTGGGGGTATTTAAAGTGGTACATCCAGGGCCTTGGTTTGTGTTTTCTATCAAATTATGCCTTTACATATGTGTTCTTTTTTTGGTGTTTTGAGTTCTTATATTCATCCCTATCCAGAGACTGAAAATCTAAGCAAATGCCTGCAATTTTGCAAAATTGCTGTTAGAGTTGCAATGAAAAAATAGAATCTGTTTTTCATTCTGATTGCATTTAACATCTTAATTCACTAACTCTTTAGAGCTAAACAATCTTTCTTTCTTGTTGGAATATTGACTTCCCATGGTAGAGAAACATTCTTAACAAAACAGAGCATAGATCTTCTGAGTGTTTGGCTCTTGTTACAAAGCTGAAATGAAAAATCTCCAGTGCTGTATTTTCTTTTATTCTATTGTATTTTAGAGGTGGCAACTTCAAAAGTTGTGAGGTATACGTCTGTTTTGCAGAACTGTCCGTTCTGCACACTGCTTGTGTTATCTGCAAAACGCGCAGCTGCGTCTTTGGCATTGCACTCAAATCCCTCTCCCTAATTTCAGTGTTTAGGAAGTAACAGAGCTGCTCGTGAAGAGTGGGAACGTGTGGAGAAAGACTGTGCGAGTTTCAACAGAAAACGTTGTACTTGACCTAGTTGTTCTCTTACCCAATGATTTCTTTGACTCTTCTGGCCATCGCACATCTGAGAGACTTTAACAGTGTTAAACCAGAGGAAAGTTTTATGTATGGAAAATTTTCAGGAATTCTCCCGGTGTCCTGTCCTGTCCAGATAACTGAGTCCTGCCAGTGCACGTGTGCCATCTGCAGCCTGTAGATTTTAAAGGCCGTGCTTATACCAATGTCTTGCTCATGGGAAGCTATTTTACTGTACCATAGGAAAATATCATTTTTTTTCTGCAGTAGCTGTGCTGATTTGAGGAGTGCCCTGCTGGCCCTAGCCCAAGAGCTGTAGTGCGGCTTTGACGCCGAGGCCCTTCCCCAGAGCGCCGGCTAGGTTGCTCCCTGTATCGCTGCTCCCAGCTCTGGTGCCTGCGGTGTTGGCAGGAGCGCCTTGGTCGTCTGCAGGCAGCTCTGGATCCACCGGGGCAGGATGGCCTCGTGGTCTTTTCTTTCTAGTTGCTGAAATGATTTCAATGTTTTTAAATTATTGCTATGCTCTCTGGGCTACTATGCGATTGTGAATATGAAGGCATGAGATGCATCCCCAAGGTAGTTGTCCTTACGTTGCAGTTGGCGTATCGGAAGGGTTTGAGGACTGTGTAGCAAATCAGAAGCCCCATAAGGTCTGCAATGAATAAGTACTAGTATTTGTTTCTTGTAGCTTAATCTGACTTTTGTCTTTTGAGCTTTCATATGTCAGAACGTCTTTCAAAATGTTTCGCATAGGGAACTTTAACCTGAAACAAAATTTGTCAATGAAAACTGAATGCAAGTACAAAAATGAAGCGTGCCTGCTTCTGAAGGCAAGCTCGTTCTTTAGTGAGGATTTGAAAAGTGATTCTGAAAAGTGAGAAAATAGCAAGGAATCAAGATAACTGTGTGGAAAGGCTGATGCTAATAAGTTGCCATTTGAAATAAGACTGGTGGTGCAGCTGAAAAGTAGTGTGTCAAGTGGTAGCTCCCCCCCCATTTTTTTATTTTTGTTGTTTGTTTTTCTGGTGGCTTTTCGGTTTTTGGTGGCCTTTGGAGCGGGGGCAGGTGAATGAGCTAACCCATTAGCAAGGCAATTTACTGCATAGTGGTTAAAACTGCTGAAGAAAATCTGTAGCCAAAAAAGCTGCTGAATCATTGTCCTTTTAAATGTGGCATAGTAATTGCAGTTCCTTACAGGATCTGATCCGAAATGTCATCTTAATGTTTCTGGCTAAAATGACTTTGTAATAATCCAGAAGGCTGTGCTCTAACTACTGCATAGATACCTGCTGGTCAGGAAACTTCGCAGCGCTATATATTTGTGTCCTGAATTATGGCAGTAAGAGCCGGTTTCTGGCTAGAGGAGCAGTATGCCTGAAGCTAGAGGTGATGAAAAATCTTTTGTGTTGCTAATCTAACATTGTAGTGTAAGTAGATTGTTGAGGTTTTTTTTCAGCTTACCTTTGTAAGAAAAATAAGTCAGACATTGTTTAGATTCATTGTATTTTTCTCCATTCTTTCTCTTACCTTTCTCGAAATGTAGTCATTTTTTAGATAGGATTTTCAAAACAGCCCAAGAGAATCTCGTGCCTGATTCCCTTTAAAATGAAGTAGGAGATGTTCTTTTCTCAAACCATCCAAGGATTTAGGAGCATGCTAGCTGTCCAGAGTTTAAGGTACTTATGGTGATTTTGAAAATCCTAAACTTAGAAAACAGGCTCACCGTGGCTGCTTAATTTTTCAAGTGGAAGATTTACTAACCCCAGATCTCAAGAGAGAAAACTTTGAGTCTGTCTGGATCCTTGCAAATGATCAATCCATGAAACTATGAACAAGTAAAACCTGCTTGAGCAAATGCGCATGGAAAAGGAATTTATCTCTGTTGTCAGAAGGTGCGGTCATATTTTAAATTTGAATTTTCAAAGTCAGGAGTTTTTTCATGGAAAATACCTCAAGCTGCCACTTTCACCAATTTTTTGGTTTCAAGGAAGAGAAATATTTCTGTGTCTGGTTTTCACAAGTCAGTTTCCTGGATGAATTATTTTTTCAAGTGCAAGTATGGCTTTTTCTGCACGCTTACTTTAGTTAAGCAACCAGTG